ACTTGTAATTTCGAAGCAACAAGGCAAGCAACAGTAGAAATTCCAGTCCACCATAATAGAATCTCAATATAGCAATACCCAACCAACAAAGAATTACTTTAAAAGCTAGAAATTATCAGACTTTCTATAATTGGGTCTGTTAGCATTAATATACTCGCTATATATAGGAAGGGATCAGGATACAGAAACTGAAAGTGTTATAGAAGATTTCCTACAGGATTACATATATAATTTCTATAATGTAGAGGAATCAATTATAAAGAAAATTGCCAACATCAATCAAGAACTTCAAAACTATATATACTTTGAATTCATATAAATGACTCTATGAGCTGGTACAATGAACAATACTATATGAGAGTAGAATAGACTCTAGCAATCAATAACAATAGATGTTTTAACTTTCAAGGTCAAGTCAAAAACTTTTACTCTTTAACTAAAACTGAATTAATAATCATCCTTATAGCCATTAATACACTTCTCCACTATAGCAGAGCATAAATATATATAGATAACATGACAGCTATTAACTGTATCCAAAAAACAAACAAGCTCATAACCACACAACATTACAAAAAACAAAAAAACTCAAACATCCTACAACAAATTAAAAAAATCTACAAGCAAATAAATATTAACTTAGAGCTTTTCAAAGTTCAAGCATATACAGAAAATATACAAAATGAATTTATAGATCAATTAGCAGAGATTGACCAACAATGAGAGATGAAATCCAATACAAAAAACATTATATTCAAAAATAAAATTCTAAAAAGATACATTTCTCTACACAATGAAACAAATAAAATCTGGAAGTACCAATTAAATAAATAATTAAAAAAATTATATAAGTGGTTCACTTGGCTAAGTAAAGGCTCCTGAACAAATTTAGAAACAATTTCAATGACCACTTAATTCAAAGAATTCATTAGCCCACCACTTTCAAATACCTTCAGATTATTAAATAAGCAATTACACAAATAATTGAAAGGATTAACAACAAACTAAATTTTTGCTAAGCTTATGGAATAAAGAACTTCTCACAAAAACCAAGCTGCATCAGAGCACCCTTAATCTACAAAGATAATTTGTGTAACAATTGTAGAGAAAGGGAAATAAATATACACTCCTTTCCTGTACTATACACAAGATAATGACAGAATAATACATAATTAATATCATCATCACAAACATTACAAGTTACTTGATCCAAAAACAACATTTGAAAATAGACAAACAAACTGAAGGAAAAAACATCACTTTACTATGAGAGATATCTGAATTGTCAATCAGAAGAGTTTCTCAAGGAAATAAGCCAAATTATTTGATAGGCAATATCAGAAAATGACCCAGGCACACTGCTATATAGACATCAAAAAAGACATCACAAAATACCTTCAAGATTTATAGAAAAAATCATGTGAAGAATTCCAATTCTGGAAAGCACAACAAGGTATCACTAGAAAGATGGAGAAAAAATGTAAAAATATCAAACATGAAATTGAACCATGGCTCAAAGAAAGTGAAGACCATATTAAAGACCAATTTATACATTTAGTCAACAAATACATAAACAAAACCATCCAAAACTTAACAACACCCTTTACCATCTTGGAATTTTCATACAGCACTAGCCCAACCTTGGCAGGTTAGCATCCTCTAAAATGAGGTGGCAACAAGCCGCGAGGTAAGTGCAGTCGCAAGACTGCTTCTTTATTGAACTATATTTGGTAATCGTAGGTAGCTATAGCATCACATGTACATACCTACCACATTTCAAATAAAGTAAGGCTGAGTTAGCGTTTAAAAAAAAATCATTGATAATAATAAAAAAAAGAAAAACAAGAATAAAAATAATACATTGTTTCTCATATTTGTCCTTTTATTAATTTTATGTATCCAGACTGTTATCAAGGCTTATTAAACTCGTTTGATAACTTCATTCAAAACAAGTATCAAAATCAAATAAATCAAGATAATGATCTGTTTTTTATGTCCTACTGCTTGAACGTTACGTATTTGTGTAACTCAATTTGTTTATAAAAGACATAGGATGATATTTTTGTTTTTTTACACCTTACGCAATAAGTTATACAAAAAGCAAACAAGTAATATGAGCATATCCCTTGACTCATTAGCAATGGTCTCACCATCGAACCTTACACAGGGAAAAGGAAAAGTGTACCCTCCTGACATATTTAAAGATTGTATGCAAGTTATTGATAAAATAGCAAAACAAATAAAACCCAAATATCTCAACTCTGACATTACAATTGTTGCCGAGGGAGTATGGAAAAAAATAATCAGTCAAAAAGAAAAAACAAACAACGACAAATTAATATCCATCTGTAAAAATTGGTACCGATATGATTTAGACTCCAACACTATTAAAGATAAACTCTCGTTTATTGTGACAAACATCATTGATATACTTTCTGAAAAAACCAAAATTCTCGACGCTTTTTCTGAGGAAAATGGTAATATAGAAACGTTGAAAAATAAAGTGCTTAAAGATGGTACAATAGAAAAGAAAACAAAAGAAGGGGGTTACCAAAAAAACAAAAGAAGGCAGTCTACACCATCTGAAGACGGGCAAAATAAAAGAACTAAAATACAAACAAACGCAGTTACCACTCCTCAACAATTTATAAAAGATTACTTTGCAATATTGAAGACGATAAATGCAAGGACATCAGATACGGAATTGTCAACAGAAAAAGCAATAAATACTTGGAACACCATAACAATGACTGGTGGACACGATTTCAAAGAGTATTATAATAGAGAGAGAGATGGAACCTGCAATGAAGTAGTTGCAGCCAATAGACTGACGCTACGAAAAGTTATTGATGCTCTTATAGATCATAAGTTAATAAGAATACCAAACGGAGAAGATCAACAAGAATATATAGACAACATCATAGAATGCGTCATCAATTATAGCACCAGCTCTTCCTCCAGCTCCTCTTCTTTTGACAATTTTAACAACAATGTTGAACCAATTACATCTATGACGTCAACACCACCTACATCGCAGCAGATTATGCTACCTTCAATAAATAGTTTTCCTTCTCTTCCGAAAGCATATCCGACTACAACAGATCTTGGACAATTTACTATCTCAAGTAACTCTAATTCTTTAATGCAATTATCAATTCCTCGAACAACTGAATCAAACAATTTAATAACACAAAAAACTCAAGAACTACAATATTTAGTAACAAAAATGACAGAAATGCAACAACAATTAAATAATATGAGACAACAATCAACACGACTCCAAAATGAAATATCTCAAATAGTAGCAACACAAGAAGACGAATTGAATAAACAAAAAGCAGCAATAGTACAACTTCAACAACAATTAAAAAAATTGGAAGCAGTAAGTAAATAACAATCTATTTTTTATTTATCCTTTATAAGTAATCAGGTTTTTTTTAACGTTATACAGTAACTAAATTTGAAGTTTTATATAAATTTATGAAGACAACTACAACAGATTAAAAAACCCTGGATCTTATGTTGAACAAACATGGTATCTTGAGTGCTTGGCTCGTCTTAGAAATCTTTTATTGGCTCAACAAATGTTACTAATTTATTATTAGTAAATAAGGTTAATATTGTTAAGTGTTTAGAATGTTGTCAAAGATTAATGGAGGCTTTTAGCGAAGTAGTTTATTGGCCTACTATAGAAAATTATAATCATGGACAGTTTAGTGGATTTATAGAATTTAGAAATGAATTCAAATCTAGAATTTGCATGGCAAATTACTATAAGACTTAAAATTAAAAAATATTAAATAAAATAGATGTCTTTTTAAGCTCTATGCTTAGTCTAAATTATATATGTATATTTGTTTCCTATTTGCTAGATTGATTTAAATTTGTAAATTGTCTCTTAATAGTTTTAAATAAGTTTCTTTTTTATGATTGTTTGTCATAACTTAAAGATACTGTAATTCATTTATGCTATCAACTAAATTTCTAACGTTATCATAAATGATTCATTCTCTTAATTATCTCTTTGTACTAATGGCTTCTAAATTATTTCTTTTGATTTTGTATTATTTTTATCTTTTTTACTCTCAAATATAAGTTCTGTTGCATTTTGTTCAATATTACTTCAGAATTCAACAAGATTATTGTTGGATTCTGATTCTGCAGCATCATTTTCTGATTCCTCTGTTGCATCTGTCCCCTCGGATTCATCATCACTATCATCTATATCTAATTCACTAGTCTTTGACTTATCTTTCTCGTTTTTACTTTCTATTTTTGTTCGAACTATTCGTATTCGTATTATTTGTCTGATTTTTTTGCTTTTTATTTTCAGCTTCTTGAATAAAATCAGTTATTTGTATGAAAGTGTATTTTTTGTCTTTATTTAACGAGTCTAAAGTATTTAGTAATTCATATTGTTCCTTAGTTATGAAACATTCTTTATACCAAAGTTCTAATCTAAAAACCTTATTAGTTGATACAGATAAATGAGTATCAACTCTTTCTGACTACATACAAAAAAGATATTCACAAGAAATTTTATATTTTTTTAGTAATAAAGTCTTGAACTCTCCTTAAACCAACTTGAAGGTTACCTCCAGGAGTCATCCACATCTCCTCTCTCTTATTTACATCCCCTTCAGACAAATCAAACTCTTGTGGCCTAAAAGTTCAGTTTTCATCTTTACTACCAATGGTAAGAAAGTTCTTAAAGAAAAAAGGACACTAATGAAGTACCTGACACCACTCTCCTAAAGCAGAGAAACAAAGCATGATAGAAGTTTTCTTCTAGTTAAAGGATTCATCCTTCTCCTTTAACTAGCTGTGTAGCTTCTATGAGCTACCACTTCATGACTTTCTGGGGAATTTTATCTATCTTAGCTTGATCCTGAATTTTAGGATAGCATGAATCCCACAGATTCTGATTGATTGATATGAAGCATACTGGACAAGATTAATAAATAAGCTTCTATTAGCCACTCCATGTATCTGAATGCATTTCCTCAGTTCTATAAGAACTTAGGATCCACCATGAGTTATTTGTGTCTGGTACAGGTATATAAAGAACATGACATTATTACATATCCAGATATAAGAAAGAGTTCACTCAACCAGAACAATCATCTGGCCATAATAAGAAGAAGGACTCAACCAGCTACAGAAACTTGTCTGTAACAACACTGGTCTCAGCACAGTGTGATACTGAAGATATAAGGCAGGATTCAAACAAAGACAAAAACTGAGCAGTAAAATATCCTGTATACAAAACTAAGTTCAATTTAATCAATAAGACAGGTCACATCATAGGGCAAACACCTAAAGAAAGAAATTTGTTCTTTTTTTTTCTTTTATCTTTTTTTAAGTACTAATGAAGTCTTCTAATATAAGAGTATCCCAAAACCAGTAGTGTTGAGTATCCTAGGTGAGTTCTTGACATGTTAGCTTCTCATATAAGGGATAGCAAACAAGTCATCTGATGGATCAAGTCCTAGAAAGTACTGCTTCTGTTTGTAGTTTACAGCTAGGGTCACTTCACTAAAAGGGAATATATGAATTTCCTAATTCCTATAGATTAGTTAAATTTGAGAGACAGTTCTATAATAGATGTTCACATAGTTATCCATCCTGTTGGATAAGATATAAATATATACTCTTTATATTATTAGTTGATCTGTAAATCTCTAGACAATAATGGGTAATTACTCATACCAGTATCTTTAGAATATATCTTGATTAAATAAAGTACATGAACTGGTGCAAAAATGAACTGGCATTAAAAAAATTGATAAATGAGTTTTATTTTCTTTTTGTTGCCTTTAATAAATTGTTGACTATAGTAATAATAATTATTTTTATGTTAATTTCCACTTTTTGTTTACATATTCTGCATAATAGTGACATAAATTTGATTCATCACCTTTTTCTGAACTTTCAGTTACACATTCTCAAGCATTATATGACATTTTATTATATGTTTCCATGTGAACACTTATTCATTCTTCAAAACTATTATTTACTATATTATAGCATGATTAATAAACAGTTGTATTTCCTCCTTTATTAGCAATTATTATTTATTTCCTTTTTTATCATTTTCTTCTTCTTCCAGCATAATTAAAGAGTATACTTACTACCCAAAGCTCTATAAACTTTTTGATAAACATCAAATAACAATTCGTTCATTCATTTTCTCAATTATCAAAATAAAATTAGGATTTCTTACTTCTGGTACTTAAGCTATATCTTCTTTACTCATCAAAGTATCATGTCTTACTCTATTAAGATGCAATATAATAGCTACCATCCTATTGTAATTACCTCAAAATCTATCTCGTTCATTACTTTTAGGTTTATATATTTCAAATTTAACATCATGAGGAGAAATATCTGTCTTACCAATCTTAATTTGCTTTTGACTAGGATTTTGACTTTTTTTGAAAGTCACATAAGGAAATATACCTTTGCTAAACATCTTCAAACTATGTTTTCAATCTTCTTCATCAGGATGTTCTGGCAAAAATAATATAATCTTTTTTTTTTTACTTAATTCTACATCATGAAAAGTAGCATCTAGTAAATAAGTTAATATCTCTATATAGAATCAAATACCTTCTCTATCTGGTAGGCAATCAATATTATTTTCTAGAACTATAAATCTCTTACCATTAGAATTATTTTGATTATTATCTAATTCTTCTTCAATTACTTCACCTTTATTATTTTTAGCAGTTACTATCATTCTTTTAAAAGTACCTCTTCCGATATCAGATACCTGAGGATCTACTCCAATTTTTTTAGCATTAGAAGCATCAAATATAATCAGTTTTCTACCTCAATTTGACACTGCTACTTGGCTTCTTTTCTAAACTTCATCTTCTAATTATACTCATAAAGTTATCAGTATCCTTGTCCTTTTAACCTACTCAATCTTATATGATAATGAATGATAGTTTGCTCAAAATTCTTAGCAAATGAGTCACTTTCCCAAGAAGCAATCTGCTGAGCGCCGTTCCTTCTATCAAAATCAAAGATGTCCATAACTGTATAAAAACTTAACATAAAATAAGTAATTAAATTTCAATATTTTTAGTTAGTTACAAATAATAATAATAATTATTATTATTATGGGCTACTATTACCAAAAGAAAAAGAAGAAATAGAAAAGGTTCCTGCATTTAATTCCTTTTCCTTAATTATTTCATCATGAACCTTATCGCTAATAACTCACATTACAGCACTGAGAAAATCAATCATTCCAGCAAAGAAAGACATATAAACAACCATATAAGTAGTTAATGGTAAAGGTTATTTTATTATTAATTTACTACTACGTAATATCTTTATCAGCTACCATTATCTTATAAGCATTTCTATTCATAGCAATAACCTTCTGAGGTCCAGGAAAATCAGTTGTAACCACTTGTACTCTTTGAAATACGTCTAAATATCGAGGTTGAGCAACAGTAGAAAAATAATGTCCTATAATAGAAGCATAAAAACGTCGATCCATAATAATAACAATATCATCTAGAGAGCATGTTACATAAATTTTGCTCTTATTAAAGTCACTAGTATACTGAAATAGTTTAGGAATAATTTCGAAATTCAGTGGAAGAATGCTTTAGCCATTTTAGTAACAACTTTAGTATTTGAATAGTAATACGAATCCATTCAAATAGCTTTACCCATTTCATCTGGAATAGTAAATAATGCTTATCACTATAGTTCTCTGTTAGTTAAGTCTCTAATAATAATAGAATTCGCAAGATCTTCTATTTGAGCAATAATATTTGTTATTTTGCTATCCATAATTGAAGTAAAAGTGAATAATCACTTCATAAACTTGAAAGAGGTTTATACATTATATCAGCAAACAAACGATGGCTTACATAACGAATATCGCAAGTTAAAATGCTCCCCGCACCAATGTCACTTAACTTGGTACCAGTGCTTACAATTATCGGATTTTTTCATTATCTACTGTCAAATAAGTTGCTCTGCGACTTTCAATTCTTGTATCTTCATTAGAACCAAATATACTAAGAAGAACACTTCGCATAAGAGTAGCAAAACACAACTTTTCAGATAAATAAGGTTTCCGATACTAAATACACTGCCAATAGTTTTTAATACTTGACCAAGAAAAGCATCTGATTTTACACTACTACTATTGATAAGCATACTAGAGCAGCAGGATTTGATTTATGATTTGTTGGTATTGATTCTTTCTTTAAAAGAGCTCCTTGGCCTTCTGCTCAATTAATATAATTCATAAAGATTATTTAACTCTCATATTAAAATTCATCTCAAAAAATGAAAAATAATTTCCTAGATCTACTCTTTCTTCAATATTATTTGAATCATTACCCTTAGAGCTAAAAGAATCAGAGGAAGAACTTTTGCGTCTATTAACGTTAGATATTGATACAATGTCCGCAGAATATATACCACTTTCTTTTGCTTCTTATTGTTAATCATTTCAGCAACACGTTTATCTAGTAAACCACCAAATAACATGTTAGCTTGTTCACTAGGAGACAATTAAACTGGTGGAGGATCATTATGATACTAGAACTAATACAGTGGCGATCAAATGTTTTGCATTACTTAACTCGCGAACTTTGCAATTGAATAACTTCGTAAGTAAACAATAATTTATTATAATTTTTATTTATTTAATTT